GCGTCAGGGTCCCGCGGGAACTTGATGTCGAGTACTGCGTCTAATTTTCCGGAAGTGATCCAGGAGATGGGGCCTTCCTCCGTGGTCATTGCTTGGAGATGGTCTATGTTGACGCCGTCGATTCGGAATCGAGACTGAATCTGTTGCAATCACCGGATGCGAATAGAAAGGCAGGAGGATGCTTACCATCGTAGACCAACCACCATCCCTAGCATCTTGTTCGTTCGTTCTCCCAATACTCTGCGGACGATGCAAACTAAATAGGCAGTTGTCGAATTGTCCTACGATACCTTCCGCCTTCAAAAAGTCATAGAACAGCCACTGCTTGCGCAGCGTGCCAAGATCTGCGCGGAATATGGAAAATGTATAGGGCCGGAATCCACCCGGTTGATATACGGTGACGAGAACATCTTCTAATGTGAGTGATTCAAGTTCAAAGTCGCCTTGCTGGGCGATGTGACGAAACGAGGCAGGATCAAGGTCAGGAGACCACCGAACCGAGCGACGATCTAGAGCAGGATTAAGTAGAGTAGTTCGAAATGCCAGATGAAACGGGCGTACCAAGAACACCGCGCACACCCTTGATTACAGCATCCTTCACGAGACCCTTGCCATCAAGCCACTGCCACAGACTGAGCGTGACATCGATGCTATCAACATTAAGGTCAAACATGGACCACTTGATGTCTTCGTCTGAATTACGGTGCTTATCGCTAGAATCCTCTTCATCGTCGATGGTGTGGTTAGCAGGATGGTTGCTGACGTCATAGCCTAATGTGGCAGCATGAATAGCCCTGTTACTTTCGTCTATCCTGTTGGCGTCGATGTTGGGTCGTCTTATAATATACACATTCTTGAAAGAAATGCGAGAGTCCTTCCATTTAGGCACAATGGCAGATTCGAAAATAATAGTGACGCCTGTCTCGGAAGTGAGATAATCGCTAATTGCACGGGCGACGTAGACTATGCCCTTCGTCAGCAGTGCATATTGATGTGAAGAGTGAGTACAAATACCTTGGAGGCGAAGGCTATTCGCTACAGCGAACACAACGGAAAAGAATGTCGTTCTGAAAAACGGTAAGTACTTAGAGTGGAGTGATGCCACATACTTAATACTCACGTTCCAATCAGGATCCAGAGGCCGTGACCAACCAAGAACCAAGTGACAAAAGCTGAGATATCGTCCGCGTTGAACTTGCGGAAATTTCGAATGAAAAACCAGCGAACACGAACGCGCATGCGCTGGACAAAACCGTTTGCGGCATTAAGGAAGTCATCCCGAGAAGGTCTAGAAACGTGGGGGAGTGACTGGGCGAGTCTACGAAAGAAGCGGGGATAGTTGTTGTCATAAACGTTATGAGGGGTGCTATCAGGATTTGAACTATTTTGGTGGGATGTGGCCGTAGAATGCTGTGGAGATTGTTGCGGTTCTAGGCTGTGGGGGGTAGCGCGCGTAGAAAATGGCTTGTAGTGCGAAGGGGACGATGAATAGTAGAAAGTACGATGGAGGGTAGATTTTGGAGTAAATGAAGTCGGCCGAGTAGATATGGAGCGAATAAGGGGAGATGGTGGTCGAGGTTGAGTGAAGAAAGAGTGTATGAGGGAATACCGGTCAGCGTGGGCAAGACGACGAGCGAGAGTACGCGACGCGGGATACATCGACAATTGTTGCAGGAACACGGAACACGGCTGACTTGGACGACAAACCGGCGACCACCGTGGGAATATTATACCGCTCTCCGCGGGCCGGTTATGTTAGCTTAGCTCACAAGAGCTCAGCGCTATACCTGCAACCATCATCATGAGTCAATATCCCATCCCACCACCCTCTTACGGTTCTACTTCCCCATCCCCTAAGTCTCCCAATGCTCCGCTACGTGCTGGGCTTAGGTACCAGGATGAGCCTGGTCCTAGTGCCGGGATCTACAACCAACCTGCCCCTGGAGATCTTCCTGACGATTTCAAGGTTGGCTCGTTGTATCCACTTACCTCTCACCTTTTCTGACCTGCCTTCCAGTACGGCGTTACCGTCATGGAGAGCTCTGTTGAGATCCGCAATGCATTTGTCCGAAAAGTGTATACTATCCTTTGTGCGTCTCCCTCCATTACTCTCCTTGACGGGGCTGATATTCCTGTTCTCTGTTGCAGTTGCTCAAGTCGTGAGTATTTCCGAATGTTCATCTGTCTTGATTTGACCTTATGCCTACCTTCTCAGTTGGCCACCACTATTGTAGGCGGTCTCCTATCTCAGTCTCAGTCGACCATATTTTGGGTTCAGACTCAGTGAGTGCCCCCCAATCCCCACACTACGTACATTAACAACAATTTCCAGCGTCTGGTCATTCTATGTCCCCCTCTTTGGGACTCTCATCGTCCTAGGACTGCTGTACTGGAAGCGCCACAGCCACCCTCTGAACATTGGTCTCCTGGCACTCTTTACCCTTATGGAGGCATTCACCCTCGGCGTGGTCACTGCTTTTTATGACAACGTGATCGTCCTTCAGGCTCTGCTCATTACAACTGGTATATTTCTTGGTCTCACACTCTTCACATTGCAGAGCAAGGTAGGTTATCGATCCAGTGCATTCCGATGCATGTCCGATAATGTACCTTTTAGTATGACTTCTCGGGTATGGGTCCGTGGCTATTCGGTGGCCTTCTCGCCTTGGGTAAGTTTTTGACCTATGCTACCCTGGACCCTCGATCTCATCGTGCGCAGTGATGACCGGCTTCGTCGGAGTCTTTATCCCATTCAGTTCGACTATGAATCTCATATACGCTCTCGTGGGCACACTCCTGTTCAGCGGATACATCGTCTACGACACGTATCTCATCAACAGCCGCCTCTCCCCCGACGAATACATCATGGGGGCAATTAGTCTCTACCTCGATTTCATCAATCTCTTCCTTAATATCCTCCGTCTCCTGAGCAACATGCAAGATCGTTGAACGGAATTGATTGGACTTGAGTTGGTCTTTATTGTTTCCTTTATGTGTTACCAATCGTTTGGAATATTTGTAAAGTGACTCAAATACATTCTTGCGTGCTTGATGCAGATCGGTCAGTACAGTGATAATCTCCAACCTCGCGTGCATTTTGCCAAAAAAAAGTGTGACAATAGCATCCCGTCAAATATCTACGACAGTAAGTAACGCCTCCTCTCACGAGAAGGGCCCTTCCCTCTTGGATTCCAAGTCACTGCTCCGTCTGTCCACGTCGTCCCACCCGTCGAGTATAACATTACGCACTTAGGATCGGCGATGTACCACTTCAGCTTGGCTCGGTATGGCAAACGAAGATACGTACCTGTGATGCGGGCAGGATCACTGGCAGGTAGTGGACATAGGTTGCACAGATATGGGGGAGGGGGCATGCGGCTCCGAAGAAGAAAAACACGAACATACATTTCGGGGCCCGGAGGGTGCCCCACGGCGCGTGCACAGACTTTGGGCGAGCACTGGCGGTTTGTACTGAATTGCTCCGCCGACTTGTGTAACAATATAAAGAGCGTGGCCGCGCTCGGTGGTGCCAAGGGTGTCATCAACGGCGACATAGAGGGTATCTTATGACAATGCAACGTGAGGAGGCAGACTGACATCAATGTTGTGGCCAAGGGTAACTATATATAGACCCGTTCCTGCTCCCGTGCTCCAGGCTACACAAACGGAACAGCTACGAGCAGCTCCGAGATAATAGGACACACCTTCTGCACACAAGTGTAGCCGGGAAGAAACGAAAGCGCAAGGTCGACGACGGTGCTTCTTTGCGCGGCGGTGACGTGCTTGTCGACCCTTCCCGGTTCCGAATGTGGTGAACCCGAGCGAAAACTCAAGGACACGACGATTTCGACGGAACGCATACCCATTCCAGAAAGCATCCTCAGACTGGCCGCTGGCACGCTTGAACATCTTCGGGAGCCATCTTTTGAAGAACATGAAGAACCTCTTCTGGGGCAGCGCTATTTAGCTTCCCTGAGGATTGACATAATGTAGTATTCCTCTGAGTGTTGACAGGTGCGCTTACCCTCTCTAGCCCCTGCGCTGAAAGGCAATCGCCGTTTCCTGATATAAATCACGTCTGTACGGACACGGGGTCCTCGCAACGCCGCAAGTACGGCACTGGCGGTCATCTGTTCCATACCAGCCGTCTTGACAGCGGACAAGGGTCGTTGTGGTTCTAGGCTGTGGGGGGTAGCGCACGTGGAAACCGGCTGGTAGTATGAAGGGTATGACGAATAGTAGAAAGCACGGAACAGGGTAGTAAATGAAGCTGAACGAGTAGACGAGCGGGGAGGACAAGACAAGCAGTGAGACCACGCAAGATACTACAGATAGTTTCACCGACACCATAGACTTACCACCAATGTCGTCATCACAGTTTGAGTGATTGGCGGCTGACTTGTTTCAGAGTGACATGCAAGTGATACAGACCGTGTGGAAGGGGGATTGAATATATATTTGTCGATACTGGTATTTGTGCTAACGGTCAGCCATGTGAAAGAAAGCAGAGGAGGCCGAGCGATCGCAGCAGTTGCTATCAGTGTGATCACCGCTCGGCACCATGATCAGCGTGTGTCCACTCTCTTTGCTCCCCATCCACCCATGTGGTCAGCGGCTGACCGTGTGCAAATGACCATATATTCACATTTCAACTAAATATTGCTGATCGCTGTCAGCCAGACACCAGCATGCATCAGCAAGACAAAAAGTGACTAGCAGAACTAGTTCTAGTTCCACTAGCCCTCTAGTTCAACCTAGGGCCAGGAAGGTCTGGCTGGCACCAGGTCAATGTCCATAGATCTAGTCACCTCAATTAGCAACCTAGATCATACTAGACCTAGGAAAAAATATACAATTTCACTTGTAGTACTTATCAGATGACATAATATCACATGTATTTGTGCCTTTGGTTACTTGTCACCTATCTTATTTATTATCTTATTTATTATTTATATTATTTATAATCATTAATTACTTCATCTGATTGGTCATTAATATAAAGCATTGTCTGGGATTTGAACCAAGGACATCAGCTGACATATTTTCCAAGTTGAGCATTTAACCACTACTCCAACAAGTCTTTTACTACTCACCCTACTATATTTTATTTATATAGCAAGCCCTGCTAGAAAATCTTGTAGAAGTAGAAATCTGAATGGTACTAGTGTTAATAGTAGAGTCATAGAAATTAGTAGAAATCAATAGAAATTTGAACACTGTTACTAGGTCTACCTAGTGCTAGGCCATTCTATTGGTGTGACTAGATTAGCTAGGATGTTGTCTAGAATTCCAATAATAAAACTAGAAGTTCTGGCACAACTAGAATGTAACTAGCACTAGTCTAGCCAGTCATACTAGTCACACCAGGCATTTCTAGCTGATTTGGTCTTGCTGATGCTGGCTGATCCCCCACTTGGATTCTTCCACCCGTTGTCGACACATTATTTGCCCTTCCACAATGTGACTACATGTAACAGAATACAGACGACTGTACTGTATATAAAGTGCCCATCTTTGCTCTGGGGTTGACAGATTACAGTACTACCTTTCTCCCACTCTACGCTGTCCACTCTTTTCCTCATACATACCTCAGTAGTGCACTTGTATCAATGGCTCAGCAGCCTCAGCCCCAGGTTCCGACTTATGGTGTCAACATCCCCACCATAGAGCTCCCTTGTAACGTCTACCACGGACGTTTGCCTGACTTAGGCTTCTTGACGGGTGGCGATCCTTGAGGGTCGGAAGTTACAGTTAGCAAAGGTCTGAGGATAGAATGCGGGGTGAGGTTGTAAACTCTCGTCTCTCCCGAAGTAAGCGTGGAGGTCCTCTAGTTGGATGACACCTGGAGGGATTGCGTCGATATACTTGGCGTTGGCCCACGAAGTGCTGTCAATGATGAAGAAGGAGTGGTACGGAGATGCCACACGATCGTTGCGATAGAGGTGCACTTGATAAGCTGTGATGTCTTCGGGGAAGTCCACTGATCCGCGAAGGGACAGGCGAAGATAAGTCACGGGGATCCCTGGTCTAAGGGGATATGCCGGACGACTCACTTAAGAGGGGGAAGCCTCTTAGTAAAGACGAGTAGACAGTGGTGGTATTGGAAGAAGACCAAGATGCCGTTCTTGGTCTTCGCACTACTCTACTTATACAGATACGCGCGGGCTTTGAAGCGCCGCTTGAATGTTACTAGCCAATAGCGTAAGTATCGCGAACCCTAGTACAGCTATCCTAGTATGAGTCACTACGAGTCATCCTAAGATCCGGTCCGTTATCGTACAATCACATGTGCCGGAGCTTACCCGGCTGACTGATCTCATAAGTCCATGACGATATACTGCTGACGGTGATGTCATAGCCGATGCGTCAGTGTTCACTTCCTGGCCCGAGGCGCCAATCAATCCCGAACGTAACATCCCTGAAGTCCTTGGAAATGTAAACCTCAACCACCCCATTCATGCCAATGATCCCATCAACCCTCAAGACAGAGCCCATGCCAAGTCAGTTGCAACAGCACTGAGGGCAACACATGGTAGGTTTATTTCATTCAACCCATGATTGTTTGATTTAACTCTACACAGATTTTGGACTAGATGCCAGGGTCACTGCTGCAGTGGTGGAATATGCTGAGTTAAGGGCATTTGCTGTGGAAAGTGCATGTATGTAAACACTCATTTTCTACTCTGCTTCTCTTCTAACCATCCTATTTCTCAAGGTGCAATGGCAACATTCACACCAATCAACACAGCACAAGTGCTTCAGGAAATTCTTGGCCAACTTGTTCATGTCAAATGAACAACTTGGAGACATTGGAGGAGAACTTGGAGTAATCAGTGCAAGATCTGAAAACATCAGAATTTTGGTGCGCAACTGCCACAATGCTATCCCCCAGTGCCTTTGAACCACTGTTGAAGACAGTAAGTTTAGAATCTTTGCACTTGGGTCTTCTCCTGACCTTTTATTATCTAGCATGCTGGTGATGGTGTCCAACTTGCAGTTGACATCCTTTGGGCACATCCAAAATGTGCAACACCTCCTTGTACCACCTGCACAAGCAGCCCATCATTGGAAGACAACCTCAGGCTCCAGTTTTTCACACAAATTTCCACCTGTACCAAAGGGCTGATATTATCAACCTCATCATCTTCTACAATGAGGCATTTGGCATTAATGCAGGTGACAGTCTTCAAGTCTGCATTACAAAGTTTCAAACTTTTTTAGTAGCACTGTAAATTATTATCATCTATGGTAGCACAGTACATGACTCAACTATGTTAGACTATAATTTGTAAGGATCATTATGTCCCACTGCCACATCACTGTCATCATTGGAGTGCTGATTGTGCTGGTGGAGTCCCCCCCACTATTGTCATGGAGTCGAGTGCCCGACCTCCAGTTCGTTTCGATATGCCATTGTTATATTTTATCCAGGTGCTACTTGTACTGGATGTTGCTACTCATCCCGGCCAGCCGACCATCGTGACTCCGAAAGTACGACCACATCTAGATTGTTTTTGTCCCACCCTTATTCCTTACTTTTTCTATCGTCGTCAGCTCCTGCCAGTGCAGGGGGCCAGGGCAATGAGGACGCTCGACATCATCATCTTGTCGTCGCGAAGCCCCCAGTCGAGATGGACTGTGGTACTGATGCACCGCAGCTGTCCGCCGCAGCCCTGTCCGCCGTGACCGTGATGACGATGTCTGCACCGGCGCGGAACGTATCGTAAAAGTCAAAATGGCAGGGCGACGCCTGCGTGACGTTGTTGATCCGCACACTCTGCACGTACGCCGCGGCTCCAAGCGGGACCGTCGCGCGAACGGAACCTGCATCGAACCCGTCGACGGTCACGGTCGTGCTCACGTTCAGGTACGGGTTGTGCACGGTATACTTGGGCACCATCGGCGAGAGCACGAGAAGTTCGCTCGTGCCGGGGACTGCCAAAACCCCAGACAGAACGGTCATTCGGCGTGAAGGAAAAATAAATAAATAACAGACCAGGGTACAGCCCGAGGAGATGCCAGGTGAGTAGCGTAGCCATTGCTGCTTGGTCGTCATTCCCGGGTAACCCGGCGGGCGCTAAACCAACCAACAAAAGACATGATCTATCGCGAGCCGCGAGATAGTGTGCACGTGGACAGGACGTACTGATGTCAAAGTTTGTAAATACAGCTTTTCGCACGGCGTCGACGGAGCTTGCAGGCGTGTTTGCGTAGTGATACGATATTGGCGTCTGTATTTGTCACCATACCGGCACTTAGAACACGGATCCGGGCGAACACTCGAGGAGAACGTGCCTGGAAAGATGGCTCGTTCCCGGCCAAGTAGTATCCGGCATTGAAAAAGTGGTCTAGTCGCTTGATAAAGGTGGACTGTTAGGAGTTCAGTGAACGGGACGTTCGTTTTCGTGGGTGACGTCTAGTAGGCTCACGTTTCCTCCCATCATAGTGATCAAGTACGCCATATCGTGCGGCACGAACCAGCTGTACTCCCAGGACGACGATTCGTAGAAGCCGATGGTGTTGTCGCTTTGCAACGAGCATTCTCGGTTCGGTCGAGGGTCATTGGGCGAGCAGGCTACGGGGTCCACCACCGCGAAAGTTCCATTTGGAAAGCGTTTCTGCATGAAACCTGACAAGATGATCTTGGTGAGGGATGCACACACAGAGCGTGGGACTCCTCACCGCGAAAACCGTCGCTTTCCACAGTGGGATCCCAGATGTTCCTATAGCTCTGGTGCGAGACATTATGCGCATGCCTATGTGTAAAAGCGTGGACCCACCAGGGAGCGGTTAGCGTACTTTGCTTCGTCATCTGCTTTGTTCAAGAGGAGGGCGACTTGGCGAATCGCAAAGTCCTCGAAAGCATACTGCGAGACAGCTCGGCTCGATCATCGGGCACGTACGAGTCACATTGCACGTACCTCGAGGGTTCTGCTCCCTTCGCGCGTGGTGCGCCCTATGCTGGAAGTGTCAAGTGCACCGTAAGGCACGTAGCCATAATAACTAGAGGCACGGCAAACGTTTAGAGCGCATGAAAAGTAGGAAACCTAGGTGCGGTGAAACTGACTTGTATACATTGGACTGCCGGCCCTGGATGTTCCACTCTGGTGGGTTGACTTCGGCGTCTGCGAGTTGCGCGGCGTAGAGCTCTGTGAGGTCGACTCCCAGCGCCTTCGCTTCGTTGTGATAGTGGATGGCAAAATGTCCCACAATGACGTCGCCGCTCGAGCATGTAGAGTCGCCTCAAATGAGCAAGCGTCAAGGGGAAGCAGAGGAACAGTTAACCAACCTCCTTGCGTCCAGCCGGGAATGTTGTTCGCACGACACTCTGGCATCCAGCCTCTCTTGCGGTACCCGTCGATGTAACTGTCGACGATCTGTGCGAACACTTCAGGGGAGTGAAGGGACATGAGGGGATAGAACGTTCGGAACTACGGGGCCTCCGGTTGACAAGGGGACTGCGAGTTCGAAGATTTAACCTGCTTACCGTGTCCCAGCTGAAAATCGAGAAATCAGTGATAGATTCGAGAGCCAATAGGGTGAAAGAACAGACCTGCAATACAATGAGTCGAAGTAAAAGGCAGTCGTATCAGCAAAGTCTCCTTGCGCCTCGCCCGTGGCATTATTCTTAATGAGAATATGTGAGGCCAAGTCAGCACTCTCAACTGAACTTGGTTCCCGAAAGTGAGAGGCGCTCACCGGTGTCAACGACGCACGATACAGAGATGAGTATAGTAGTTCCGTGACATTCGGTGGCGTATGAGGGACGTCAATCTCTATCCGACTCAACCTCTCGTTCCACAGTGCCTTGCTTCTGGCGACGATTTCTTCGAAGGCGGCGGTACCGATCTCGGATTCTGCATTTGCGCACGCTTGTGCCTCAGAGAGGAAGGAGACACCGACGCGAATGGTCACTTGGGTGGGGTACCCCGAAAACGAGAAGAGCGCCCCAGCCTCGATCGCACCTTGTATGAGACTGACCGGGAAGTTGAGGCTCGTTTCGCCGAGACCTCGAGCGACGACGCCGTTTCTAACAGACGAGACAAAGGGGGGGGGGGGGTCAGAGGTGTGATGAGACAA